GTGGTGCAAAATCTTGCTCAGACTTTTTAGAGATTGTGCGCGCAATCGGAAACTGCATAGAATTTCCACGCCCAATCTTTTGCAGCCTAACAGCTGAACTGTCGAATATCGCAAACACAGAAGTAAATAGCTACACACACAAAGCACGCTGTCACACATACCTAAGCGCGCACACACATATACACACACACGACGCATAGGTACGCATGCAGACCTACACAAACTCGCTATCCTACATTTTTGTACATTTTTAGAATTAAATGCGGGGCTGGAATCTGGAGAATTTATTCTGTAGAATTTGAGTTTTTGTTTTCAGGGCATTTATTGCAGAAATTTGCCACTGGTATGACCCCGACTGAAATTTCTTGCGTGTACCTTCTTCACTGCGCGGTGTCGACAGTGCTAACGCCAAGAACATATATGTTAGCAACAGCAACTGCACCACCGGACAGCAAAAACAGTACAAATAACAGCGTTTCCAGCTCGGATATTAAAGACGTACTTTATGCAGTTCAAAACAACAACAGTGGCACTGTTAGCAATATCCGCAACAACAACAGCTACTTCCTCGAAAACAACACAATGGGCAACGACAGTGCCAAAAAGAAATGGATCCGCTGCTGTTGGGCTCTGCCATTATTTGATGACAGAAACAGTAGCCGGAACATCCGTGCAAGCAATAGCCTGGATAAAAACGATAAGGACAGTAACAGCGGTAAAAAAAGATGGTTCCAAATCTGCTGGGCATTGCCATTGTTTGGTGATAGAAAAAGTAGCAAAATTCTTAAACGCAGCAATGTTTTGTAATAATAATTCCTTAGATTATCTGTAATTCAATATTTACTTTCTAACTTGCTTTGCCCAGTGCGTTCTGTACTGCCAACTGGCAGCCTGTCAGCGATCCCGATCTTCCGTTTTAGTTGTTTCTATGCTATCAAAAATGAATAAAGAACTTTCGGCAAATTTCGTTTTTTTTTTTTCTAATTTCCTGGGTTTAAAAAAAAAACAGTGGTTTTGGATGTACTCAAGATGAACTGGCACGAGTATACAGCGAATTCTGGTTACTGTATAAAATCTCACACCCGCTGGAATCTCCGCATTCTTTTTTTCCCTCTATAAATACCGATGCATACCAAGAGATCGATTCAGATTTAAGTTTATGGATTACTGCAGATGCTTATTGGAAAAAATTTCGCACGTTTTTACAGAAGTTGATAATAAATTCATCGTGATTATAATTCACTCCAAAAATCAAAACTGCAAATTCATTTTCATAAATTGCTTCGTCTTACGGATTGTAACTTGTACTTTTTTGTCACGGAGCTAAAAAAACTTAACAGTTGATGCGGCTTTATTTGTCTAGGATTGTATAGTTTCTAGGACTGCATTTTCGAAAGTTATTTTTGCTTATATGCGAGTGGCAACCCAGGCTGGTATGCACCAGGTGAGCCGGTGCGATTATGCGTTTTTGCACAAAACTTGAATTAGGTTAACTGCATGAACGGTTGTTTCTTCACAACTACCTTGTGTGCTTAATGCCGAAAATCATCGTAAATTTTGCATAAAAAGAAATAAACTGCTTCCGTTTAGAGATGTTTTTTGAAAATAACCCAACTGTTCAATGAGTTATTTTCCCGCCAGAAATTAATTGCCCGTACACAGGTAGACTGAATTTGAAGATTTAAGTTTTATTTGGACGGGGAATATTCTCCAAAAATCTGAGCCTCCCAGCTTTTCTGGTTCTCGAGTTAGCAATTTTCCCGCCAAAACTTTCACAAGGCCGCACGTGACCTAGGAGCATACCTGGGCTGGGTTTGGAATTTTTAAGTTGCATGCAGGCTGAGAACATCCCTTTAAAATTTCAGACTCGCAGCTTTTCTAGTTCCCGAGTTAGTAAAAAAAGTTTTACAGGGCTGTACATGAGAACCACGTACGACTGGGGATTGGATTTGATAGGTTTATGTCGTACTTGTGCTTGGAACATTTCCTGAAAATTTCAGCCTCCCAGCTTTCCTGGTTCTCGAGCTAGCCATTTTCCAGCCAAAAAATTCCACGGGGCCATATATTAGAACAACGGATGACTGGGGGCTGAGTTTGATAACTTTAAGTCATAGCTGGGAACATTCTCTGAAAATTCCAGTCCTTCAGCTTTTCTGGTACCCGAGTTAGCAGCTTTCCTCCTAAAACTTTCATACGCCCTCACGTGAGTACCACGCATACCTGAGGACTGGATCTGAGATATTTAAGTTGTACTTAGACAGGGAATATTTGCGTAAAATTTCAGCCTTCTAGCTTTCCTGGTACTCGAGTTAGCAATTTTCCTCCTAAAAATTTTCATACGCTCTAACGTGGGTACCACGCATACCTGGGGGCTGAATTTGAAATCTTTAGGTAGTACTTGCACAGGGAATATCCCTACAAAGTTTCAGCCCCTTGGCTCGTGTGGTTCCCGAGATCGCTTTTCCGCCAAAAAATTTGCATGTTTCTTTAAGGGGCTCGTACAAGGCGCCCAGACGCGCGCAGGGTATGATATTAAAATGGGAGGGTCGAGCATGGTAGAGGCACATATTCCCAAAGTTTCAGCCTTCTGTCTTTTCCCGTTCCCGAGTTATCAATTTTCCCCCCAAAACTTTTCCCCTCTCGTACGCGGGGCCCAGACGTGCGTGAGGGATGGTACTGCTTGGCTGGGGTACCCCCTAGCAAAACCTCGGCGCTGGAACTTGCTTGGTTGCAGAGTTGAAATACCCGGACAGACGAACACCCACATACACAAACACGCACACACACACACATACGCACACACATACATACACACACAGGGTCGTCCCAATATGCGTTTTTGCAATTTGCATATAGGCAAAAACGCATAAAAATCTAAAATTTCCAGGCCAGTTAAATTTTATATGAGGCATGGTCTCGTGTTCCAAAACGACCATTTTTTCTGCTGCTGCTGCTGCTGCTGCTGCTGCTGCTGCTGCTGCTGCTGCTGCTGCTGCTGCTGCTGCTGCTGCCGCCGCAGCTGCTGCTGCTGTTGCTGTTGCTGTTGCTGTTGCTGCTGCTTATTGTGAATTCATAGCTAATCAGAGGTTTTTTTTTTAATATTAATGCATGCATCTATGCATCTGGTGCAGTTCTTGGGGTCCAGATATCGCAGTTCCTTTACTTCTGCCTGTGCTCGTATTTTATCGTGAACAAAAGCGTTTTTGTTGCCCAATGGGTCGAGAGATCGAACACAAGTTTTGTTACTTTGGGATGAATAAGCCTTGGAGGAAACCACAAAACTGAACGATTTAATAAGGGAATTAAAAAGGATTTATGAATAAGTGAAAGGATTTAAAGAAAAACACAGGACTTCTGGCTTGTCCTGCAGGAAGTTATATTTTGAGTGCATCAGCACGCAGCCTAGTAGCATTCGTATAAGCAGAGAAGATCCAAGAAGCCCATAAAAAAAGATTCCAACTTCCTGCCGCTGTCACGTAATAATTTATTAGTTGTTAAAATTCCGCAAAAAATCATTGCGTCATTATGATGCAGCATCTCTGGTCCCCTCTCTAACCTTTTGACGCCCGACCCACTTTAGAGTTATGCAATTTTTCAGGATCCTTCAAATTTTTCAGGATTCTGTCGCTGATGTGGACGTTTCGTAAAAAGTGTCGATTGACGCGGCAGATGAAGTAAAGAAAGTAAGGGTAGCTAGCCACGCAGGGAGATGGTATTCTCTCACCTCCCGCAAATTTGTCAAATGAAGGCAGTTTCAGCCAAAGCTGCATTATCGCCTTTCATATGCCCAGTATGTCTTCAGCTCGCGCAAGTACGAGCAAACGTTTCGCTTCTATCCCCAAAAACAAGAGCAGCTTTTAGCGGTTGTGCAAAAACTTCTGAAAAATACGCCGGCATTTTGAAAGAAGAACCTTCTTTTTTTCAAAAACTTTTTGAAAGAAAAGTGGTGTGAAAAGAAGAGTCGCGGAAAGACTGCCATCTTCCAAAACCTTTTTGGAAAGCGGATGGAGAAAATAGGCGCTCACCTAAAGTGCAGAACAACGATGAGTTCACTAGCTTCAGACAAGATCGTAGTCTTCCTCGACTTTTCAGTTGTCTTCCCCCGCCCCTCCACCTCCTCCGCCTTCCCTCTTCGGTCCCTGTCCGGTATTTTCTGCTTCGTAAAGCGCTGGTTGCACTAAAAAGACAGTAGCCCTTCTCAGCAGCAGTCGATACTAACCCCTTTCAACGGTAGCACTCGTCAGCATTTTCATCTGCAGTGGCCAAAAGCGATAAGATTAACGGCGCCAGACGCAGTCATGACATGATCCTCCTCTCTCATAGTGGGGTGAGATTGGAGAAGGGCTAAAGAGAATGGAAGAAGGGCTAAAGAGCTTTTCCTGTTCCCGGGTTAGTAATTTTCGCGCCAAAATGCCCACGCGCTCGTACGTGAGCTCGAGCGCTTCTAAACATCTGATTTTGCTCGTACATGACTAGGGAACATTTCCTTAAATTTCAGCTTTCCAGCTTTTCGCGTTCTCGGGTTAGCGGTTTTCGCACCAAAATTTTCACGTGCCTGTACGTGAGCCCCTAGCGGTCCTAAGGAGATGAAAACTTTTGGTCGTGCATGAGTATGACCCTTAACTTACTACTTATTTTGTCTTTAATATTACATTACTTCTCCTTTAATGCCAATGTTATGTATTTCGTTTTCGATATCGATTACAACATGTACGTACAATTTTAAATATGTTTACATTTTCAGAACTGATCTATTTATTGGTTTTATTATACAAGAGAATTATATTATGGATACGACGTGTGATGAACAGGAAGCAATTATATTTTTATTTTACAACATTATACTTTTTATTCTTTCCTCTTCTTCCTTTTCCTCAATTCTCTAAGATTTCTCAATTCTTATTTCCATCTCCCCTCCTTCATTTCCAAAATTTTGACATTATTACTACCACTTATTTCCTTTCCATCTCAGTTACTTTTTATTCCTAACTAAAAAAAATGTATTGTTACCACAGTTTTCGTACTGACGAGGTCCAACTGTGGTAAAGGTAAAAAATGTATACGACTTAATGGACCGAAACATTTCTTACCTAATTTTTACTTC